ATTGTACCAAAAGAAATCTAAAACAGGTCAGCTGTACACAAAATACTTTACAGATACAGTAATATATGCAGATGGAAGGGGATATGATGTTCCAACAGGATTAATGCTAACACAATGCCCATCCAACTAAAATGTTTGACAAATTCACAATCAGTAGACCTGCTCCTCAATGAACATGTATCAGACAACAGCTGAATCATTCTGATAGTCCAATTCTAGATATATGAGTGTATAGGTCTGTGTTAATACCTAAAGATGATATACAGTGTTTTAATACTGGGTCTGAATACTGTTGATACACCATTTACTTTGTAACCTAAGCAATTATTGATATGTATATAAGATCATTTAGTGCAAGTAAGTGAACCCTGAAGATAATATTAAAAATTTTTTTGTTTTACATGGTTGCCAGTGCTAATAATTTTTTGGGTACATGGAAAAATCCAAATGACGTGTAATTTTTTTGGTAAGCTGAGTATACTGCAATCAAATGATATAAATCATTGTGTATGCAAAAGGGTGCAGTTAGAGATTGAATTTAAAATAAAAAATATGCCAAGATCAAAAAGATCCTGAAGCTTTAAAAAATTGCATAACTGAAGCCTTTAATGATGGATAAGTCTACAAAAAGCTAGCAAAACAATTTAATTGCACATCTCCACCATGTGAAAAATTATTTATAAATGGAAGTCACTACAATCAAGAAATGACCATGTGTGAGAAATAACTGCAAGTTCAAGTAGACATTTATTTGGATAAGCCCAGGTGAATCCTGTTGTGACCTCTTGTAGTTCTCCAAGTATCCCTGGCCAATGTCACAATCAATGAGCATGTATCTACAGTTTGACAAAATCTGAAAGGTGCCAGTCTTCATGGCAGAATGCCTAGAAAAGAGCCACTGCTTATAAAAAGCACAAACAAGCTCAGTTCCATATGCCAAAGTTTAGGTTATTAAGCTAGAAAAGTTCTGACAAAAGATTTTATGGCCAGATGAGATGAGAGCATTTTGGGAGGAATGGTAAGCAGTATGTCTAGCAGGCTTTTGAAGAATCTGGGACCAACAGTTAAACATGACAGTGGTAGCATTATGAATTGTGGGTACTTTGCTACAGCTAGAACAGGCAAAACAGTACTCATTGATGGCACAATGGACTACACAAGATACCAAGCAATTTTGAATGAAAGTGTCTTGCCCTCAGTTTGAAAGTTGGGCTTAAGTCAGGACTGGATATTCCAACCCTACAATGATCTGAAGCATCAAAGCAAATCTACAAAATAATTGAAAAAGAAATTTCAAGTCTTGGAATGGCCTAAAGTCCTGATCTAAACCCAGTTGAAAATCTATGGTTCAATTTAAAGAATGCACTACATACATGAAACCCAGTTAATATTGAGCAAGTGGAGACTTGCCAAGAAGAATGGTCAAAAATTGACACTCACTATTGCGAGAAACTTCTTAAAAATGATAGAAAAAATGGTTGACTTTGCAACCTCAAAAGAAAAGTGACCAAATATTAAATGTAAGGCACTTGCTTTTGCACATCTTAATTTTAAATTTTTAGTTAATATTTTTATCCCAGCTTGATAAAAAAAACTTTGATTGTGGTTGTAATTCATTTAATAAAGGTTTTTCTTAATGAATATATACTTTAATTAAGATTTGTTGATTATCTGGAAAAAAGAGACAAATTTTTTAATATTACCTTAGGGGTTCACTTAATTTTGTGCAATACTGTATATATATATATATATATATATATATATATATATATATATATATATATGTAAGGGCATGTGGGCAGTGGTTAGAATGTTCACATTCTGACCATGAGACCTGGAGAGGACAATTCCAGCATGCAGCACCTTTGGAAAGTGCCTTAAAATCATACCTATGGGTTGACCCAAGACTTGCAAGTGAAACTGAGTAGACAGAACCCTTAGGGGCCATCGATAGCTGTTCTAGCACAAAGTCACAAGTCATCGTGACCAAGGTTTTGAGTGTACTGGCTTTGTTCAGATTGTTAATCACACTAGATAATACACTCTCTCCCAGAAGCTGTAACTAAGGTGACCTCAGCATAGTTGCAGTATAAACCACAGGTTGGCTCTATGGGTGTTGAACAAAACACAAATGTGCCCGAGTGAGCGTCTGCAATAGGGATTGGCTATCCGGCCTAATAGACGAGTATCCTCGAATACGAGTGGCCAGCTATTTATTTTATATATATATATATATATATATATATATATATATACACAGATATATACAGATATATATTTGGAAGTGCTATCTGATGATCTGGAGTCCTTTAAAACGGCTCTGGTGAAATAAATTATTATAATGGAACCTTAAAATGGTCTGTTTTTCTTTAATATATATATATATGTATATATATATAATGAATACGGAATCCTTTAAAAATCCATTCAGTCAGGTTATAATTTATTTTGTGGACCTCAAATGTCCATCTCTTCAGGCTAGTTTTATATAAATAAATGGAGTTCAATTTATTCAGACACAAAGAAAAAGGAAAAAAAGAAAAAAAAGAGAGAAATAGAGAAAAAGAAAAAGTTTTAATATTAAAAGGGGAAAGAAAAAAGGGGAGAAAGATAAAGATTTAAATATAAGGTTTTTAGGGGGAAGAGAAAGAGCAATAGACATGGGGAGGGGTAAGGGAAAGAGAGTGTGAGAGGGAAAGAAAGGAAAGAAGACAGGGTGACCCAGAATTGATCTTTTCTTCAGGGACTTGACAAGTTAAAAAACAGGGTAGAGGAAGGGAGTAATCATATTCGAAATAGATACAGTGAAATTGTCTAGTCATTGTAAGCATATATAAAGCAATTTCTAAAGAAAAATTTCTAAAATGCTTACTAGAATTCAAATGTCCGCACACAGACACACACTTACATTAACACGACAAGACAAAGACACACAAGGTCTGCCTGACCAATGAAAAACAAACAACACAGAACTAAAAGTACTGGAACTTTCTCTTCCATAATTACTTTCCAAAAATTTCTGATGAAACTTAAATAATAGTGGGACTTTTTACTTTATAAATGTTTCCTCATCCTATCATTCTGTCAGATTCTAATTTATATTTGATCCCAGTCTATCTATCTATCTATCTATATATATATATATATATATATATATATATATATATATATGATATTACTAAAGAAGTGAAAGAGAAAAGTAGACCTATCATCATGCTACTCTGTGAGATTTCTTTTGTGCTATTGTTGGATATAGCTAAAAATAATAAGATAATTTTTAAAGATGTTCACAACCAGTGCAGAGAATATAATTCCAGGATGATTTGCTGTTGTATTAATGCTGATGGTGTCTATTTTAAGAACTCATTCTGTGTTTTCATGTGAATCTAATGAACAATAAGAGGAGTTAACAAAATGATCATGAAATGCTGGAGACAGTCAAATAGGAAGCATGGCCGCCAATCATTGAGGTTAAAAGAGCTGCAATCACAGAAAACTAAATATGTAAGCAAAATTGCAACAGCAAAAACAAAACAGAAGAAAACAATGAACAATGTGAACTTTTACAGAAGAACTACCATTGAATATTACAAAGGACTCAGCCAAGAGAGGCAAATGGATTGTTAGTTTGATACAATGGAAAATATCAACTGGTTTCAAAGGAACACATAAAACAGAAGCCATTTCTCTTATGTGTCTCTATCTGCCTATCATATAAATCTGTAAACTGTTTGCAAGTTTGTAATTATATTCTTGCCAACTGAATTGTGAAAATGAATTTTTAAAAAAATATCCCTTTCTTCTCTAGTTCAATATTCTAAACACAAAACTGGGGCATAATAAGTTATCAAAAATGTGTTCACTTTATATCCAAAAGTGCAGAAGTAGGGGCATAGAGTGCGACATCCCTGACATCATACCAAAAGGGCATCCAATCAAAGAGTGAAAATAAATATTTAGTTTATATTTAATTTTAATAAAGTGTTTATTTCATGTTTCATTTTTTTTACATATTTAAAATGTCTTCCTTTCTCACATTTCTCAGTAGTAGGTCCTATAAGCTCTACTTGAGTTGTAAGGTCATGCAATCAAGGTGTTGGGCACAGGCATCGCTAAAAATCACCAAACCTCTGCATGTCACTGATTGTGATAGCCAAAGATGGATTCTAAAAGCTAAGTAATAAAACAGAAAAATTTTGTAAGAAACAAAGAAAAGAGTACTGAACTGTTATGTAATATCAGTCCTCCTATATGGCAGTGAATGCTGGACAATCTCCTCACAGATGAAGAAGAGACTTGAAGCAAGAGAAACAAAGAAAAGAGTACTGAACTGTTATGTAATATCAGTCATCCTATATGGCAGTGAATGCTGGACAATCTCCTCACAGATGAAGAAGAGACTTGAAGCAAGAGAAACAAAGAAAAGAGTACTGAACTGTTATGTAATATCAGTCATCCTATATAGCAGTGAATGCTGGATAATCTCCTTACAGTTGAAGAAGAGACTTGAAGCATCAGAAACAAAGAACAGAGTACTGAACTATTATGTAATATCAGTCCTCCTATATGACAGTGAATGCTGGACAATCAACTCACAGATGAAGTGGAGACTTGAAAGAACAGAAATGTGGTTCTACAGGAGGATGCTGAGGATACCACAGACCAAACAACTGAGCAACAACAAAGTTTTAGAAAAAATAGAAACAAAAGGGTAACTTATACTTAAAATCAGAAAGAGACAGTTGAAATTTCTAGGGCACATATTGAGGAAAGAGGGATTGGAAAATTTGACACTGACAAGATAAATTGAAGGCAAGAGAGACAGAGGAAAATAATGCATAACTTACTTAGTGAGCTTAAGTAAATTAATGGCAGACCAAGATTTAGGAGAAATAACAGAAAGAAAAAATTTATTAAGACCTGCAAAGGACAGGAAATTGTGGAGAGCCATGATTGCCTATGCCCTGAATTGACACAGCACAGAAAAAGAAGATCCTTTACAGCCACATCACTTTGAAACACCGGTTCTTGTTTGATCACCAAGGTTAAGCAATATTGAGCCAGGTCAGTACCTAGATGGGTGACTGCTAGGGAATACTAGGTGCTACAAGCATGGATGTGCAGGTGGTGTGATGAATAACATATCAGAATGAGAAATTGGATTGCTGAGTTCAAATTCCACTGGAGTTTATTACCTTCACTTACACACAAATACTTTTGAGATAGGTATGAATTAGTAACAGCAGCCTACTAGTTTTTGTGTTTACATATGATACTTTTTTGCCAACCATTTGTTCAAACTCATCAAGTATTTTACTTGCTCTTTTTCCCTGTTTCACTTGACTTCAGTACACCAAATGAGTGTTGAATTCTCCAAACTTCTTTCCACATGATATGTCTCCAAAACTCAGCAGTCTATTTGCAATTCCTATACCCCTTAAAACTTACTTGCTTTTCATATAATCTGTCAATGTCTGTTACTTCACCCCTTTCTTCATGTGAACAAATTATCAAGAATTCACTGCCATAAAATGATGAAATGTGATAGAGCAGTACAGCACTCTTTTCTTTTTTTTTCTAAAGATATATTTTTTAATCCTTTCATGTATGTTTATTGTTGTGATCAAGTAAAGGGTTAAAGAAATAACAAAACAAGTGTTGCAGATATATCATATATTAAACAATAAGTACAACAGAAGAGTATTACATGACTAGTGAATGTGTGTCAGTTGACCCAGCGTTCAATCTATTTGACTTTTAATATTTAACAGACCCCACCACGAGGGGTGTATGTGGCACAAGGCCGAGTTTACTGTGTGTTCTCCAAGCCCGTAGGTTCAGCCAAAAATATTCCCTTCAAAACCATGTAAACAGGTTCAGTTACTGTCTACCTCCCCAGACGAAACTTTGCCCTGCGGCAAAGCTTCATCCGAGTTTCTCTCTGCCAAGGCAGAGAGTTCGACAGTTGAACAATCTATTTGACTGTTATATTTAACAGTCCCCCCACAAGGAATGTATGTGGCACAAGGCCGAGTTTAACGTGGGTTTCTCTGAGCCCGTAGGCTCAGCCAAAAATTATTCCCTTTGAACCCGCCTAGACAGGTTCAGGGACTGTCTACCTCCCCGGACGAAACTTTGTCCTGCGGCAAAGTCTCATCCGAGTTCCTCTCTGCTGAGGCAGAGAGTTCAACAGTTGAACAATCTGGTCGACTGTTCCCCCAATGTCTTCTCTCCGAATATTCTTATAGTATGCGGAAGAGTCCAACATAGACTCTTTAGAGGGAGGACACCACAACAGTTATCAGCAAAAGAGACAGCCCAACATGCAAATTACAAATTGGAGATATGAAAATCAAGCAAGTACAATAATTTAAATATTTGGGAAGCATTTTAACAGAGGACAGAATGTGTGACACCAAAATTCGAAGGTGCATTTGGATAACAAAAGATGCCTTGCAAAAGCTAATCAAAGTATTAAAAAAACAGGAAAATTTCATTAGAAACAAGGAAAAAGAGCACTGAACTGTTATGTAATATCAGTCCTTGTATGTAGCAGTGAATGCTGGACAATCTCCTCATAGATGAAGAGACTTGAAGCAACAGAAATGTGGTTCTAAAGAAGGATGCTGAGAATACCGGGGACTGAACATAAGTGTGCCATTTTTTGATATTATCTTCTGTCCCTCTTCATTAGGTTAAGAATTTATTTCTTATTTTTTTCATGTCTTTCTTTTCCTTAGGTTCACTTTGCTCTTATATCTTGTGCTTCTATTAAAGTCTCTCACTAGTTCCAAAACTTTAATTTTTACCGTTAACTGCAACTACATATGCTTGTTTGAAAATAGCATCACTGTGGAGCTAATTGCATTTTAGCTTAAGCATTGGTTTGAAATTCTTTAATTTGTGCCATCTTAACCTTACTTTGCATATAAATGGTAAACGATCACTCTTGCAGTCAGTATTTGGATGTTTCTTCATGCAAGTCCTTCCCTTTCCTGTTTAGGATTAGGTTTCTAGTTCTTCCTAAAGTCTTCTCATTTTCTTTCACACCCAGTAACCCTTTGTGGCATTATTGCCTTGCTTGGGGTGAAATGAAAAAAGAATAGAGAAAGAAAATTGTATTTCTGAATTGTTTAAATCATTTATCTGGTTTTAAATGTCTCCTACTGGGTTTTTCCAAATCTGTAAGCCTCTTTAATGTTCTTCAAATCATGTATTGATTCTTACTGGGCCATTCACAGCACACCATTTTGTTGGAATGTTTTGTGCAATATATGTATTTTAAATGAATTCTTTTGAATTTTTATATTTGTTAAACAGATTTTTAAAAACACAGAGAAAAACATTTTCATATAATTTCATAATTCACTTGAAAATTCTCATCCCACACAGAATAAATATTATTAATTAAGGAAAACCAAGATGTGTTTACTTTCAAACAATTATTTTAGCATTTCATAACATTATGATTATGCATTATTCACTTATAAATTGCATAAACTGATGGTGATGCTACAACGAAAATAATAAATCTATTTTAATGGACATTTCAATTATCAGCACTGACTTCTTAAATGTTTTTCAAAAAGTCAAATTCTAAATCTTCTGATGAAATGCATCCTGATTAAAAAGCTTTTCCAGAGAATTCTAAACACAAGCATTACATACTCTTATCTTAAGATTATAAGCTGTTATATATATATATATATATATATATATATATATATATATATATTCTGTTTATACATAATTTTTATAGATATAATTCATTTAAGTAAATGCGCTGTTTTTTAATTAAACAGTATTAATTAGATTTACTGGCCTGAATCTTCATGACATTTTGTATGTTCTCTCTGACAGGAATCGAAACTGTAACCCTAATAGGAACCGTCATTTGATCTGATATACTGTTAACCATTCAGCCACAGAGAAGCATCTGGTCAGCAAAGTCTGAATTACTCTTTTATAAACACACACCATTGATGATCTTTCTCAAACAGTCATTTCTGCTCATGAAACATATCTTAAAGTAAACAATGACAACATATGAAATGGATTAAGCTCAGAAATTATTTAATATATTTTCTGTTTATAAATTATTTTTATAGATATAATTTATTTAACTAAATACTCTAATTCTTAATTAAACAGTATTAATTACAATTACCGGCCTGAATGTTCAAGAAGTTTCCTGTCAGAGAGCACATATTTTCTATGAAATTTCTTGAACATTCAGGCCGGTAAATGTAATTAATACCATTTAATTAAAAAACAGAATATTTACTTAAATAAATTATATCTATAAAAATCATACTTATTATAAAACCCAGGTTGTGTATGTGTGTGTCTTTATGTTTATATATTAGATCGGATTTCCTAAATTTTTCAACAAAACTTCACAGGACTACGTAAAATTCCCTTGTGGTGGTTCTGACAGCACCAAAAATTGGAAAAACACAATTGTTTTTGCACAAAATCAATTTGAAAACACGATTAAAAGGCATTGCTGTTTCGAGAATGAAAGGGGGACAACTCATATTGAGTTATACTTATTATAAAACCCAGGTTGTTTGTGTGTGTGTGTTCATTTATATATGGGATCGGATTTCCTACATTTTTCAACCGATTTCAACAAAACTTCACTTTTTTTTTGGCCGGTAGTGTTTCTTATTCTCTTGCACACTTTTTTCTTTATTTTTACATTCAGAATGCTTTAAAAATACCATTTACAAGACAATTGTTTATAATAAAATTTTATTCAATCGGTAGACTCATAACGATTGAAAACAATGTTTTTGTTTGAGTTTGGGTTTGACCAATTCGTAAAAAAAAAAAAAAAAAATAATTAAGACATGCGTGTCCGTTAACCTTAAACAATAATCTTTGTCAATTTTATTTTTCAGTCTTTATGATGGTTGATACTTGATCTATCTCTTACTGTTACATCCCCGAGCAATGCCGGGCTCTGCTGCTAGTAGCATATAAAGCAGAAAATACATTAAATAACAGGGAAGAGATATGGTTGAAAGAAATGGCAGGCAGAAATGTTTGTTTGAAGTCATTCAGAATGCTAGAATCAAGGCTGGTGTATACCACCTCTGAACTACCAAACTTTAGGCATGATTTGGGGCCCCAGTCAGTGCATTGTGACCGTCACTATCTTGTCAACATCTGCTTCTTTCTACCTATATTTATACATGTTAAAAATTTAATTGAGCACAACTGACAATTAAAGAATGAAAAATTTTCATGGATTTTGACGTCATTCTGGGGTCTTTATTTTTTGTCCAAATCCATGAATTCATTTTGCTCATGCTATGTTTCAAAAAAATTCACTATTTTCATCCATAATGAATGTGTTAAATTTGCGGGCATTTTAACAAGAAAAAGCTCAAGCTGATGTTTAAAATTGCCACAAACATTGCTGATGTATTTAAGGTGGAATAATCTATTATGACGTGTCTCTAATTTGTATTTTGATACATTGTATTTATTTTCCATTTTTCTAGTTGAATTGTTCACCTATATTGCATATGATCTATTATTGTACATAATTAGTTTACAATAAAATTTGTATTTTAAGAGATACTACATTATGAGAATTGAGATGTTGTAGAGTGGGGGAGGTGTTCTGTATCATAGATTTTGGGCAGGACAAGACCATTGCTTCAGCTTTAGTTATGGTTATATCATACTGAAATACACTGAGCCTGATCAATACCTAGATGGGTAACAGCTTGGGAATATCAGGTGTTGTAAGCTTGGATGTGCAAGTAATATGATGGATAACAACTTCAAATGAGAAATCAGACAGTTCATTAGCTTCACTTACATGCAAATAATAGTGGGAAAGCTATAAATTATCTATTCTCTCTCTATCTATGAGTCAAATAAAAGCTTAGACTGGGTTCTGTAGTCTTGTTTGGCAACCACCTAAAGTAGACACTTATTAAAGAAAGAAATACTAGTCAAAAATGAATAATAATTGACAATGCTTGATCTAAGAAATTCAGACAACTTCAGACTATTACATCTTATTAGTACTTCGTATAAATAAGCAAGAGAAACAAGATGAAATTACTAGTCATTTCAAATTCATGCAGCTTCTTT